TGCACAAGCACAGAGACTCACAAGTGTAAACAAATATAAACAAAAACCATATGCTGCAGTGACAAATGTCTTTAATCACGTTGCTGTAGCTTGTCTTAGTAAGTGTAGACGCTAAGGGGAGCCTTTCCCCTCTCTCACACATACTCAGAAACTATAAAAATAACCAAGAGCAGAGTTAAGACTTCTTCTCATCTTTCAGTACAAAAAAAATGTGCAAAGACACATCACAAAACAAGACAAGAGTGCAAAGAGATGTCACAGAACATTTGACAGGAGCTTGTAAAATAGAGAGACAGAAGATCAAAGGCCTTACCCCATTTCTCAGCATGTAATAGTCCAGCGTCCGGCCTCCTTCCAGCCAGATGCCTTTCCTGGGGTCTTCGTCTGACAGAAACAGCCCATATTCTGAAGCTGAGAAACAACAGACACTGTATAAGAACTTGTACTTGGCAAAATGATATAATTTCAGCAACTGCATTTGTAATCACTGTAAACATTGATATGGAAACCCATTTCTGCCACTGAATTAAAAAAAATGTAAAAAAGGTAATTGTGACTTTTTATGTCACAATTCTGGCCTTTTTTTTTCTCGCAATTGCGACTTTGTATCTCACAATTCTGACTTTTTTTCCCTCCGAATTATGAGATATAAACTCCCAATTGCGACTTGTAAAGTCCAGTTCTGAGGAGAAAAAAAGACAGATATGACTTAACTCGCATTTGCAAGTTTATATCACACAATTCTGACTTAATTTCTCAGAATTGCGAGTTTCTCACAATTCTGACTTTATAACTCGCAATTGTGAGTTTATATCTCGCAATTCTGACTTCATTTCTAACAATTGCGAGTTCATATCTCACAATTCTGAGAAAAAAAGTAAAAATTGTGAGATGTAAAGTAGAAATTGTGAGAAAAAAAGTCAGAATTGTGAAATAAAAAGTCGCAATTACCTTTTTTTTTTTTTTTTATTCAATGGCGGAAACGGGCTTCCATAGATATACTACAAAGACCATAGAAAGAAAGTTATCCCACCTTGTCCTGTCTGGGCTTCTGGAACCCTCTCTCTGATGACCCGACATGAATCGTACACAGCCGTTGATGGCTCAAACTGCATTGTCTTCACCACATTACACTGTCTCACACAGATCTTCAGAGACAGCACCACCATCCTGCCAGTTTATGGATTACAGAATCTGCACCTGTGGAGAGAAGAAGAGAAATGAGGAAGATGGAGAGCTGAAGACAGCAAACAGGAGAACATGTGCACGTTTAGATGATGCTGATTTTAGGAACTAATCAACAGTTTCATAAAGGATGTAAACACAAATACTGTCAAACATTAATATTCATTAAGATACTGCAGATACTGATTGTCAGCAAAGTGTTCCTTCACTAAATAATACAAAAATAAATATACACTAACGTTCAAAGTTTGGGGTCAGTAAGGTTTTACTGTTTTTGAAATAAGTCTCTCATGCTCACCAAGGCTGTGTTTAATTGAGTTAAAAATACAGAAACAGTAATATTGTGAAATATTAGTTCAATTTTTCAAATAACAGTTTTCCATTTTAATATGGTTTTAAAATGTAATTCATTTCTGTGATGGCAAGATGAATTATCAGCAGCCTGTACTCCAGTCTTCAGTATCACAAGATCCTTCAGAAATCATGGGTGCTCAAGAAACATTTCTTACACATTTCTCGTAACATTTGTAATGAATCGGTGACACCTTTTTTTATGAATAGAAAGTTCAAAAGGACAGCATTTATTTTAAATAGAAATTATTTGTACCAGAAATTATTTGCAACAATGTAAAATTAGAATTTAATGCATCCTTGCTAAATAAATAGTAATTTCTTAAAAAAATTTAATAAAATAGCAACACTTTGGTATAGGGAGGGACCAATCCACTATTAACTAGTTGCTTATTAGCATGCACATTATTAACATATTGGATGTTTATTAGTAATTATAAAGCACATACTCTGCATGACCATATTTTACATCCCTAATCCTACCCAATACCTAAACTTAACAACTACCTTACTAAGTATTACTAAGCAGCAAATTAGCAGTTTATTGAGGCAAAAGTCATAGTTAAAGGTTTGTTAATAGTGATAATTGGACCTCAAAATAAAGTGTGACCAAAAAAAATTATATATAAATATTTTATTTTTTAAATCTTTTACTTAATAAAGTTTTACGTAGAGAGCAAAATTACTGTCCGGCTCCATGATATTATTATACACCCAATACAAATACTCATGTGTGACATTAATTATTAAATCAGGACAAACTCAATCACAGAGTTTTGGTCCCCTAATACACATACATTATAATCTGTACCTTTTACACATTTTCCTGTTTGACATTGTGTGTTATAAGAAAGGTATCTGGATTCTGTCCATTTCTCTCTCTCCCTCTCTCTACCCCCCCATCTCTCTCCCTCTCACACACACTTTACTGTTAACACCTGAACTCCCAGTCAGCTGTCTTTACTCTTTCAGCACCATCCAAACTGCACATTAACAAAACACTGCCTAGTTTCATTTGATTAATGTTTTTCACACACAGAAAAACAAAGATGCAACATAATATTAGACAGAGGATAGAGTTTCACTTCAAGGTTCAAGCAGCCCTTGGTGGAACAGAAAGATAATTACAACATGGTTTAACTTCAAAATCAATAAAGAGCCAGAATTATTACCCTTAAAGTCAGAGTTTCTCTCAGCATCTAGCTAATCTTTAGTCTGTGTGTTTCTGTGGGGATTGAGGATGCCCTTGTGCACAGTTGGCACACTGAACACTGGCAGCGTGATCTGACCCAGTATGTCAGGGACAATCTGTTGAGCTCTGAGCCATCAAAGGCAGACATACATAGATCGGGAAATGTATTGTTGGAAATGCAATAGTCGTGACACAATGTCTGATATGCATATATCAATTATAAGACAGACATCACTGAAGTAATAACTTGGAGTTCATTGAATCAATGATTCATTAAACAAAAGGTTCACTAGGGTCATTTTCTTATGAATCAGACTACTTTGGTCACACTGTTTACATTTTTGTGTGCAGCCCTAGGAGACAATAAAACAGAAAGCTGTGTTTTCTTGCCATTATTTTTCAGTAAGCAACCTTTTGGTCTAACCACATTCAATTCAGACTGCCACCTCATATTCAAAACTCATGTAAAATATGATTTTTTTTCACTATGCTGGAGCAGCAGAAAAGCACTGAAGAAAACACTGACATATGCATTACAGAAATTGTTCTTAAAACTTTATACCAAAATAAGTTAACATTAATTTGCTGTGTTACCCACCAGTTTGGGCCGGACTATTTGTCCAAAATACGGAAGATAGGCATATAGGTCCACAAGCACTAACTCGACCAGCCCACCGGTGTCTCTAGAGAGCCTGAACATCATAACACTCCAGAGAATGTCCTTCCATTTATAGACCTTCAACAGGATCTCATACTGCATTCAAGTTAGCAGTCTGACTAAAGTCTGATTACTCACTCAAGTTCTTACAGTAATGAAAGGCACACATGCAGCCAGTAATGCAATTAACACAACCTTTTATTTCCACTGCCTCATATCAGTGAGACTCAGCAGCTATATTCAGTCATACACTCATGTAGACGTGACTCATGTCTGTCACCAGTGTTACTATAGTAACTGTGGGCTACTGAAATATGATTACACCACTAAACTCCACCCTCCACAAAGTTTCAAGTTAACCAGAACTCCTCAAATAGTCAAATCTATATAAAAAAAACTTAAAATATTTAATTTAGCTTAGTTAAACAGAAATTATGAACCGTTATTATATGCCTCTTCACAATATAGTTATTTTAGTATTATTTATATACTATTTTAGTGTTTATTATTATTTTATACATTGTTATCAGTTTATTTCTCCATCATTAGTTCATGTTTATTTTAGTTTTAGTCATTTCATTACTTCATTGCTTTAATTTATTTCATTATTTATTATACTAGTAATTATAGTTTCTCAAGTTGTAGTTAGCAATAAAAACACTGCTTCACAACAATATAAGCTTTCTTATTTTCTTAGCATTACATGTTTTGGCCAATCAAACTTGCATTAAATTACATTAAATTATAAAATGACAGAAACTGCTTAAGTTTGAAAACATAAGAAAAAAAAAAACCCATTAAAGGAACACTCCACTATTTTTTAAAATTGGCTCATTTTCCAACTCCCCTAGAGTTAAACAGTTGAGTTTTACCATTTTCGAATCCATTCAGCCGATCTCCGGGTCTGGCGGTAACACTTTTAGCTGCAGCTTAGCATTGATCATTGAATCTGATTAGACCGTTAGCATCTCGCTCAAAAATGACCAAAAAGTTTCGATATTTTTCTTATTTAAAAATGGACTCTTCTGTAGTTACATCGTGTACTAAGACCGACGGAAAATGAAAAGTTGTGATTTTCTAGGCCGATGATATTACGCAGTGCCTGAAAATAGGCAAAATTCCGCCAACATAACCAATGTGACCACCTGCTTGCACAGGGAGCGTGCCTTCCGTTGGAAGTTACCTAGCTGGGGACTATTTTCAGGCGCTGCGTAATATCATTGCGCCTGCTGCACCCATGGTACGGCAGCAAAGTTCCTTGATTATTACACCGGAATGAGAGTATAGTTCCTAGCCATATCGGCCTAGAAATAGCCACTTTTCATTTTCCGTCGGTCTTAGTACACGATGTAACTACAGAAGAGTCAAGTTTTAAATAGGAAAAATATCGAAACTCTTTGGTCATTTTTGAGCGAGATGCTAACGGTCTAATCAGATTCAATGATCTATGCTAAGCTGCAGCTAAAAGTGCTACCGCCAGACCCGGAGATCGGCTGAATGGATTCGAAAACGGTAAAACTCAACTGTTTAATTCTAGGGGAGTTGGAAAATGAGCCTATTTTAAAAAATAGTGGAGTGTTCCTTTAAGTCATATAGTATTGATTGTTTTTAGTTTAAATGTGAATCATTGTAACATGTAACATTCATCCTTCTCCGTTAATTGGCCTTTTGAAGTTTTTCCTCCTGATTGTGAGTTGCCATTTTATTTTGATGAGTTAGTAGTCTTTCTCTCTCTACTAGCAAAGCGCTCTATTTTGATGCATTGGAAAAGTCCTCACTACTACTTAGTGGATAAAAGATGCCTTTTTCTTTGTTAAATTGGAAAGAATTAAACCGTCTTCGAGGTTCCATAGTTTAATTTTTAAGATTTGTGTTACCCTTTTTGGAGTATGTTAAGTCTCTGTGGCTAGATGTAGCCTCCATTGATTGACTGATTGCCCATTCTGCACCACACTATTAGTCTGTACTTACCAGGTAAGCACTATATAGGCACAATATTTGCTGCAAGTAAAAATACATGTTTTTTAAATTTTATTTAAAATTGTCCTTTTCTCCTAACCTGTTATTCAGGTTACCCCCTCAACTTCCTGGACTAATTAATGTCTACTTTGTTTCAACTTATGTTTGTATTGTTACATACAGTTTTTCTGTACAATATTGGACACTGCTCTCAACCTGTGGGTTGGGTGAGATTACGTATGTGATATTTTTGTATTATTTTCTTTCCTGATTTTATTTTATCTATTTTTTCCATTCGTTTTTTGCTGGTTTGAAAATGTAATAAATAAATCATACAAAAAAGTGAATTATTGTAAAAATGATCACATTAATAATGCAAATACTAAATAAACAACATTTTCGGTTTAGTGTCAATGAAGGGGTACCCGAGTCCTACTGATGGGAATGTTTTGGGTAAAAAAAATTTTTAAGACAAAAATGGTGGAGGAAGACTTTTTTCCACAGCAATGACAGATACACCTAAGAACAACACAACTGTATGTAGCTCATGACAGCTGAAAGAGGTACAGAGGGCTGGGCTTACCGTAAATGAGGCGTATGTAAACACTGAATCACTGCAGATCTTCACAGCTGTGGAGACAGTGAGAAAGAGTGATGATCAGACAAGCAAATAGAGAGCAAAAACTTTACAAATGCTATTAAAAAGGCAATTCAAATGAAACCACAGTAATGGATATTGAATTGGGCCTGACAAGGTTTATCCACATAATAGCTTTAAAGTTCTTCTTTCATCACAACTGCCAAAGGAAAAGTCTACATTATCAATTTAGAAATGAATTATTATTCAGCCTAAATGTTATTCCCATTAACCATGTTAGGTGGAAGATTTAACAGATGGGCAAGTTTGAAAAAAAGAAACCCAGCTAATTTAAAATGGAAATCCTACCAGTGATGTGTGTGTGTGTGTGTGTGTGTGTGTGTGTGTGCCCGTTTGAGCCTCATGAGGAATGAGTTAATGCCGCCGTAATTAACCCAGGTCTATCTGCTAATGATCTCATGATTGCAGAGCTGACTCAAAGCCAGAGGCCTCTAAACACTCTTAAAAGGCAAGAGCTTACACTAAACTCCTAAATTACCAAATGCGCTTATTAAATAAAAGGTGAAATTAAAGGTGAAAGTAAATCAAGTTAGAGATTACGACAGCATTTTAACACATACGCAGCATCTTACAAAAATAGCAGCTTGAGGGAAGAAATATCGAGAATCAGAAGAGAAGAAACAAGCTCTTCTACTGTAAATCTGAAAACAACAAAAGAATGTCATGACTTTTTCCTGAACATTGTCTAGTCAACCACAATACACACTTCACAATGAGACTGGTGTGACTATCCCAGATAGAGGATGGGGGTCATAGAGCTGCTGCTGTATTGAGTTGCGTTGTGTGTGTGGTAAGTGACCTCAGTGAGTGGTAGGAACATCTGTGCAGCAGCTGCTGCCATTCAACCAATAACAGAGGTCAACAGGAGTCCAGGACAGACCATTTACTCCGCACTGATTAATCACGTCAACCTCCCACTCACAAACGTTATGCAAACAACAACAGCATTACATTTTCATCACGTCCATATATGCCTACTGTATTTCCCTACTATATAGTAGGCAAAAAAATGCACACCAGAGGAGTCGTATGTCAGAATACACAGTATTCAAAAATCAGAAGGTGAAAAGTACCCAGATGGCCTACTACTTCCACCGAGATTCTGAAATGGACATCTGATGGGCACATTAATATCCCATTAGGTCACAAGAGCAGAGTCATGAATGGCATGGAAGTGAAGCAACTGATGCCGTACGTCACATGACAATGCAGTTAAGATTGCATTCATTCTACATGCTACACAGAACAATGTTTAAAGGTATAGTTCGCCCAAAAATGAAAATTCTGTCATTAGTTAATCACCCTCATGTCGTTTCAAACCCGTAAGACCTTCGTTCATCTTCGTAACTTATGGAAGTAAAATAATGCCATATGTCTTTGAAACAAAAAAACATGTTGAATAGCACTAACTGAAAAAATAATGCATTGCATTAACAGTGCTTGCATTTTAATGCCTTGTATTTTCAGGGCTTGCATTTTTAGGTCCTGAAATTTAACATAGTTGTTTATTTAAGCTGTGAATATTTAAATTCAAAATATTTCACACATTTTCATAATAAAAAATTCAATAATTCATATTCACCTTCCAGAATTCACTTCCAAAACATTCAATCTGTTTAAAAATACTATGTATAATATTCGACAAGCAAATTTCGGTCCATTTTATTTCACTTTCCAAATTCGCTTCCACAAATTCAGCGGTTATAATTCGGCAGAAAATTCCAAGTAGGTATAACTGCAGACCGGAGATCTCCAAAATGGGGCGTGAACTCCAAAAGTGGGCAGAACCTCCAAAATGGGGCGGGGTCTCCTCGCGCAAAGACTTTCACCATTGGCTCTGGCTTCAGCCAATTGTTATTGACTTACATTTCAAAATAAAACTTTATAAATTAAAGACTTTAAGTTAAAGAACTGTTTCTAGTTCATCTAAAATAAAATATGCTATATAAGTAAATATTCTCTGTGAGAGCAGAGCCCAAAGCTCGTGGCCAGTGGTGTTTGGACTGGAGTTTGAACATCTGCTTAATGATATAAACAGGAATCACCCACGAGCTCTCCCGCGAGCCGTCCCAGCGCAGCGCAGGGGAAAGATTTTACTCTATCGCTTTGTTCCAAGCAATGGGGGCATCCCGGGGCTCGAAATTCGCAGGGTAGGAGGGGGTAGTGATGCTGGGTGTAACTAGAAAGATGCCATTGACCGGTGAGGTCCAGTTGGGGAGTTACGGAACGATCTCATATCGCACAATCGTATTAACTGTTTATCTCCTGAACTGCATCTTTCTTTACCACGCTATTCAGCGCCAGTCCCGCCGTGCAGTCAGTTTCACTGATTAAGGTTAGGGGTCAGGTGTGGTGTAGGTTTAGGGGTTAGCATTTTTTTTAACTTTCTAACCCTGCATAGACAGCAACGCAATTTCTGCGTTCAAGGCCCAGAAATGTAGTAAGGACGTCGGTAAAATTGTCCATGTGACATCAGTGGTTCAACCGTAATTTTATGAGGCTACGAGAATACTTTTTGTGCACCAAGAAAACAAAAATAATGACTTTGTTCAACAATTCTTCTCTGCCGTGTCAGTCTCCGCCGGGCTTTCACAAAAGTACCACGACGCATGTGTGTGTTGCTGCTGACGCAGGAGGCGGCGTTATGACGTAGAACCCAGATGCGCCAAGCCTTTTTTTTGTTGCCGTTTACAAGCAGAAGAATGCACAAACGCATGTGTCATGGCACTGTTGTGAACATGCGTCGAAGTCTGACACAGAAGAGAAAAAATTGTTGAATAAAGTTATTTTTGTTTTCTTTGTGCACAAAAAGTAGCTTCATAAAATTAAGGTTGAACCACTGATGTCACATGGACTATTTTAATGATGTCCTTACTATGTTTCTGTGCTTTGAACGGGTCAGTTGCATTGCCATCTATGCAGGGTCAGAGAGCTCTTGGATTTCATCAAAAATATCTTAATTTGTGTTCCAAATATCAACGAAGGTCTTACAGGTTTTGAATGACATGAGGGTGAGTAATTGATGACATATTTTTAATTTTTGGGTGAACTATCCCTCGCAAAGTAAGTTCTTCATCAAATGTAGCATCTTCTCTGCCAGTAAGCAAGTTCAGATGCAGCATTTGAAATGGAATATTGAAAGTTAAATGATATGTTTTTCATATGGCAAAGACTGCCAAAACATTCTCCCTTTGTGTTTCACGGAAGAAAGTTACAGGGGATTAAAACGAAGGTGAGTGACCCCATTTAATTTTTTTTGGTGTACTATTCCTTTAAATCGATACAGAAAATTAGCTCTTCAACATCTATGCCAAGCTGGAAATCTAAAAGCTTTCAAATTAAAACTTAAATCACAAAAGGAAGATCACAAATCACCATCATACTCAAAGCACGATAATAAATAATGAAAAGTAGCAGAACAGCCATTTTAACTAAATCACAATTACAAATATTCAGACACCCTTTTTCTGCCAAGAGCACTCTGGAAAGTAATGAACAAGTTGGAGGAGAGATGGATAGAGGGAAAAAAATGAGTGACTGTTAAAGCATGATGCTCGGAAAGGCCTGTGTAATGAACAGCAGACATGGCCGTTGAATATATTTTAAAATGTAATTTATTCCTGTGATTTCAAAGCTATATTTTTAGCATCATTACTCCAGTCACATGATCCTTCATAATATTCAGATTTTCTGCTCAAAAATCATTTATTATTATGTTGAAAACAGCTGAGTAGAATTTTTTCAGGTTTCTTTGATGAACAGAAAGTTTTGAAGAACAGCATTGATCTGAAATAGAAATCTTTTGTAACATTATAAATGTCTTAATCATCACTTTTGATCAATTTGAAGCATCCTTACTAAGTTAAAGTATTAATTTCTATAATTTCTTTCCAAAAAAAAAATTTATAATAAATCATACAGACTCCAAGCTTTTGAATGGAACAGTGTATAATGTTACAAAAGCTTTTCATTTCAGATAAATGCTGATCTTTGGATCCTTCTATTAATCAAAGAATCCTGAAAAAAAAATTTACTCAACTGTTTGAAATATTGATAATCAGCAAATCGACATATTAGAATGATTTCTGGATCATGTGACACTGAAGTAATGATGTTGAATGATGGAGTAATGATGCTGAAAATTCAGCTTTAAATCACAGGAATAAATTACATTTTAAAATATATTCAAATAGAAAACAGGTATTTTAAATAGTAAAAATATTTTAAAATTTTACTGTTTTTACTGTACTTTGGATCAAATAAATGCAGGCTTGGTGAGCAGAAAAGAATTCTTTAAAAAAAACATTAAAAACCTTACTGTTCAAAAACTTTTGACTGGTAGTGTAGGCTGATTATTCTTATAGATTGAAACAAATGTAATTTTGGCAGTATAAAGAGTATGAAAAAATGCTCTGAGTTTCTGCAGGAAAAAAACTAAACAAAAAAAACAACAAGAACAAAAGCATGTTGCTGGAGACGGTCTTATTGAAAATGCAAACTGATTGTCTGCCAGCAGGAGGTGCTTTGAGAGCGGTAGAACTAGCGGTTTCTCCAGTAATGGCTGTAAACAAATCAGTTCCGCTCACGAATGCTTCCTTATCCGATAAAATAAAAATGCCATCGAAACTTTTCTAAAGACAGTCGGTTCCCTTCAGAGATACATTCTTACAAAACACCCTTATAATCAAAAGTGAAGTGAAGTGAAGTGACATGTGGCCAAGTATGGTTACCCATACTAGGAATTAGTGCTCTGCATTTAACCCTTCCTAAGTGCACACACAGCAGTGAACACACACAAACCGTGAACACACACCCGGAGCAGTGGGCAGCCATTTATGCTGCGGCGCCTGGGGAGCAGTTGGGGGTTCGGTGCCTTGCTCAAG